AAGTTCAGGAAGTAGTGCAGCTGGGCATAAAGCCAATTCATACAAGTATAGAATATAATAGCATATTTCTTATAGCTGCACGTTGTAACGCAGTGTTACAACAAGTCCCAGCTGCACAACTGGGGTTTAAACCCTGCTAATGTCTGGTGAACGTGATTTCACCAAGTACCACATGTTCCTGGATCAACACCTTTTTTCGGAATTTGAATGGCAACTACTAAATACACCAAGTTTCGTCATGCCAGCGTGTGTGGAAGTATTTAAAACAAACGTGTTTCAACTAGCCCCTTGTTACTTTGTGCCCCGAGCTCCCTAAATGTACCCTATACAACACTAATCTGGACTGAAGCAGCAAACATTCATTGTAAGAGTAAAATAATGACATAATATTATTTAATATTTGAATCACATCTTATAGAGTTTTTGACAACCCAGCAGCATTTTACCTCAAAACTGCGACTAAGTCAGTTAACTTTCTAACGAAGGCTCAATCACTTCTCGGGTCGACATTAACACACTGACAGAATTGTATTAAGAATTTAGAATATCTGTACACCACCTTTTAATGTGTGATTGTGTAAAGATGTTCATCATGAGATACCAACCTTTTGCGATCTTGCTTTCAACATTGAACCCTCGTTTTCATGGAGACGCGGTGTGCACTGCACGGGGCTGTGTAGTGTGTGTGTGTGTGCGTGTGCGCGCGTGCATGTGAGAGAGGCGGAGGGACAGACAGCAAATGAAATGCAGCTGAACGAATAAACTGCGTGTTTTAAATAGCGTTAAAAGTAAAGACATTTACAAAGACGAAAACATTTGCTCTATTATTTTATTTTATTTTAGTTAGTTTTGCAAACACACGTTACAGTTTTAGTTAGTTATAGTTTTTTTTGTAATGGCGTTTTTATTTTTATTTCAGTTAACGACAATGTTTTTTCCCATCTAGTTTTCGTTTTTTCGTTAGTTTTCGTTAACGATTATAATCTTACAGATAAAGATGAACAAGAGGCGATAGTGTTGTTTTACTGTATATCATAAGAGCATTATTATAGCATGTCCAAGAAGAATCATTGTCATATTTAGCACAACATACACTGGCTTATTGCTTAAAAAAACAATACAGGCTGTTCAAACTTAATCAAAATGAAATAATATATAAACTTTAATGGTCAGTTTATAGAGAAAAATTTATTGATGTAAAGTCACTGGTCTTGTGATTAAAATCAGCATTCAAATATTACACTGATTTCAAGTGTATAAACATGACATCAGATTAAATCTGTGATTATGATACTGAAGGGCAACATGAACTGACACTTTGATTCAGACATACCTTAAAAATAAAAATAAATCCTTTCAGCAATCTTGGCACAAATCTAAAGATAAATAAATACATTTTCCTACAATATCAAGGCAAATTAAACACACTATTTTTTTTTACTATTAATGCACCAATGCATTTAATCCTATTTAAAAATGAAATTCTATTAGTGATTAGGCTTTTTGCAAGATTCTCTTTGCCGTGTTATTATAGAACCAACACATTGTTCAGGTGTTCAAAGCAGCCGACACAGTCAGCAATAAGTTCAGATCCCCTCTTCCTTATCCATATATACATGGTCTGGCATTGTCTGAAATGCAGACACCGGCACGGTCACTGGAACTGTCAGGGATATAGCGGTGGCCTCGGATTCCGACGGTGATGCACCACTTGATGGAGATGGCAGGGGCTGGTTGTGAGCTAGGTCTGTCTGAGGCAGGGAAGATGACGAGTCTGTGTCACGGTGGGTACGTAAGTGTTTGCGTAGGTAGGCGGCAAAAAGAAAAGCCTTTCCGCAAACAGCGCAACAATGTGGCCGACTGGTTGAGTGGATGCGCTGGTGTTTGCGAAGCCCGGCTTTGTTCAGAAAACCCTTACCGCACTGGTCACAAACGTGGGGTCGTGGCTTGGGGTGCAGTTTCTCGTGTGCCTGCATATCAGCCAGCTGAGCAAACTCTGCCTGGCAGGTCACACAAACGTAAGGTCCATTAGGTAAAGCCGAAACTGTAGAATCAGATGGTTGAGAGATAGTGTGAAGGCTGGTGTGAGCCTGCACCTCCTCCCACGTCCCGAATATCATATCGCAGTGAGAGCAGGAGAACTGAGGAAGGGTGGTGGGAAACATTTGAGCTGATTCAGGAGTGGCCTGGACCTGTAATGGCCTCTCGGATAAGTGTGTCCTCTCATGCTTGCGCAAACTTGACGACACAACAAATGACTTGAAGCACAGCTGGCATTTGTAAGGGCGCTCCCCTGAATGCACCCTTCTGTGTTTGTTCAGACTGGAGCGCTCCGTAAATGACTTGCCACACTCAGTGCAAGAGAAAGGGCGCAGCCCAGAGTGCACAAGCATGTGGCGCCGAAGGTCCCAAGAAGCGACAAAAGCTTTATCGCAACGTTGGCATTTGTAGGGCCGCTGACCGGAGTGCACACGCTGATGCACTGCAAGGTCTGCCGGCTGCCGAAACTTCTTAGTGCACTTATCACAAGGGTAAGGCTTGAATCCTTGATGCGCCCTTTGGTGTCGGCGAAAACTAGAGGGATCTGAGAACATCTTGCCGCACTGTGGACACAAGAAGGGTTTTTCGCCAGAGTGGGTACGAAGGTGGGACTGGTACGAAGACAGCTGAGTAAAACCTTTGCTGCATTGCTCACACTGGTACGGCTTGCTCTTGGAGTGGATTCGCAAGTGGCACGCCAAAGAGGACGACCGGGAGAAGGCTTTGCCACAGTCAGAGCACAGATAAGGCTTCTCACCCGTGTGCGAGCGCTGATGGTTTTTCAAGTCCTTCAGCTCGGTGTACGATTTACCACACTCGCTGCAAATATACGGCCGGTGGCCTTGATGATTACGCCGATGCTTGCGGTACACTGAAGGGTCGGCAAAACTCTTCCCACACTCGGAACAAAAGTAAGGCTTCTCCCCGGTGTGTGATCGTTGATGCACTTTGAGTTTCGATAATGTGGGATAACTCTTAGAGCAATGAGGGCAGGAGTGGGGCCTCTCGCCGCTGTGTTGGGTCATATGGATACGCAGGCAAATGGCCTGCATAAATGCCTTGCCACAGTCAAAACAAACAAATGGTTTCTCCCCTGTGTGTGAACGGCTGTGGTTTCGTAACTCTGAGTGAGTCTTATAAGCCTTATGGCACTGTGGGCACGGGAATGGACGCTGAACAGAGTGGGAGCGCTGATGCTTGGAAAGCTGTGCTCGGCTGGAGAACGTCTTAGTGCACTTACCACAGGTGTACTGCTGCTGTTTGTCTTTACCATGTACTGACAGCTTGTGGCTCTGTAGAGCTGAAGGGCTGGTAAAGACCTCCTGACAGGTCGAGCATTTAAAAGTGTGCAGAGTTTTTGACGGTCTCCCTTTGCCTCTTCTTCTTGTAGGCTGTTCTGATATGTTGTCTGGTTCTTTGTTTGCATCGGTCTCAGAAGGAGGTGGTGTATACTGCTCTGTAGTTGGAGGGCTACCTGGTTGGGGTGAAGCCATCCTGACGATGCTGGGGAGAACAACAAAATACACAAATTAGTGCCTTAAATTTATATTTTAATTGAGAATTTAAATGCGCATTTGACAAATTATTGTATTTATTGTTAGATATTCTTTTTTGTTACATTTTCCCATGTTTTGTATTATTTTCTTTTAACTAAAATTAACGATTATGCTACTCTTAATCCATTACATAATTTTACCATGGTAGCTTTCCAAATACCATCACTACATAGGCCAACTGCAATTTTGTTTTACATTATCCCCTGCGAGTCTTCTTAAATGTTTCATGACAATGGTGGCGAATGACAAGTTAACATATTTATTGTAAAACTAGCCTTTTGGCAGAAACTAGTTACCACGATAAATATGTTATAAAGGATGGGGAGGGCAGCACAAAATGGCCGGCATTAGGACCTCAGGGACATATAGGAAAGACGCTCGTTCTCAAAGGAAGTTGGCATCTGGGCTGCCAATGTACAAAACTGAATTGTTTCGATGTTAACCAAAATTAAACATAAACAACCAAATTGAAGCATTGCAAATGTAATTCAGTTGCAACTCAAAGAGCTTATGCTATGACTTTAACGCAAACAACTACTATTTCAGCAAGCACTATAACACAAAATGGCTGGCTTTAGGACCGCTGAAAATGGGAAGCAATTCGCAGTCGGATGCTTCTGTCACTTCATCATAATCGCAGCATTTTTAACAGTACGTGTCCGCTTATATATCGTCAGTATTTCTAAAAGAAAATATGGCTTGCGTTACGTACCTTTTGTGCTACCAGGAGAAACAGTTGTATTTTTGACGATGAATTGCAAGTCGTTCAATCTCAGGAGAAGGTCGGCGGCTTTAGGACCACGACGAAATTATCCTGCGAACGCGGAGATGTTAGCATTCATGACTTCCTCACTCTCCACCTGGGGAATGTCTACAACATTAACTGATTTTTTTTAAAATTAATTAAAACGGATTCATCATTCTGCTCTTTTGGTATTCTTGCTGAAGAGATACTGCTGACTACACTGCATGGTAAGTGGGATAGAATGGGGTGGAGAGAAACCTGTGGGAGGGGAAATTATGCATTGCTCACTTCAATGTGGATGTTCATTTGTTTTGTGCATAAAGTTACATAACAAAAATGTGAATGGGCTAAAAAAAAGATGTGGTTATAATAACGTGTAACTGGTTATGATTGTTCAAAATGCAATAAAGAGTTGCCAAGAAATACAGTGGAATTGAACATTTTAATGCAAGCTGTCGTTAACATTAATGGTTAGCATTAAAGAATGTACAAACAATGCCCACGTTAATGGTTGAACGGATTTGAATAAAGTAGCGGAGGAGTTAGACATAATATAATAAGCAACGTTTTACTATTTGAAAACGTATGTTAAAAGAAAACAGCTCTTGAGAGGAAAACGTACGGACTTTTTTCACTGATGCACATTTCCTGTTCCCTAGCAACAAAAGCAGGAAGTGAGTCGAGAGTGGGATGGGGAAAAGACAATTGTTAGAAAAGGGGGGGACGAACACGCCCGTCCTGAAACTAAAATAAAGTGGACGGAGTGCCAACATTACATGCACCAACACCACATAGGGAGACCTCAACATTCAGTATGTATACTCCTAACGTTATTTTTTTGCTGTATCTGTTGGCTACATTTAGCCGCAGTTTCTAGCCGCCAATTGCTAACAAGCTCGCAGTGGTGTGGGATGCTACTGCCTCTCCCAAAATATGTATTTTATTCCGCTTATCTCGGTGTTTTGTCTCCTATATTAAATTAGACAACTACTAGAGGACTATTACAACGATCGATTAATACACTGTCGAGGTTATGCTTGTATAGCTAGCTGTTAAGCTAGTATACTGGAGAAGTGTTTAGTGTGTCAATAGAGCTCCATTGTGTGAGGCAGACTGTCATAACTAACTGCTGGAGCCTGTCAGTTGATCCTTCATGCTGACGGATCCCAACAGATATACCGCGTTATTTTTGTGGAATGATGTTTTTTTTTTTTAATTAGACTTAATATTAGATTAAAAACTAGAACTCAGACCAACTAACATTAACGGATTAATGATGGATGGTAAATTGGCTTTATTGGATATAGAACCCCCTCCATGTACTTTGAATTTATATAACAACTCAGTTTGGTTTAATTGTTGCTTGTAAAAAAAAATCAAAAGTTCTGATCAAAAAATTCTGTTTTATTTATTTGCGAAAATTACATTTGGTTATTTTTTTTCTGGATTCTGTGGTTTCATTATGTAATACACATTTATTATCAACAATTGTGATAATCAAATTCTATTAATTTCTTTTGACTTTGTTTAGATGAAGTTGCACACATCATTCACCCTTTACATTTAAACAGCTGTCTCTTCGTGGTTTATTTACAAACACTAGGGCTCAAGCCAAGGACTTCTACTCTTGTCCTGGAGGATCATTGTCTTGCAGAGTTTAGCTCTAACCCTAATTAAGCGTGTCAAGCTAATCAAGGCCTTCAGGATTGTTAGAAAGCTACAGGAAGGTGAGTTTGTTAGGGGTTGGACCTTAACTCTGTATGACTGTGGACTATGACCCTCCAGAACCGAAGTTTATGAGCCCTGCACTAATCATAGTCATTACATGGTTCGACTTTTTAATAATTCTACAGGCCTACTTGTTGTTATATTAATTAAGTTGATAATTATTTCAATTTGCCAAAATGCTTCACATTACACAGTAAAATACAGTAGTCAACATTTGAAGTGGATCAAAACCTTTCATCAAGGTTATACATATCAAGTATAACCATTTCATCAAGATTATACACAATTTTGAACTACCCATTCTTGTCTTAGGACAACTTTGTTGACCTTTTTTGATGTTGACTACTATATATTTAATGACTGAATTTTTTTCGTCACGTAAATCATAGGGTCCTATTTACTCGCTCTCGCATGACATTTCAAACTTGTAGGAAAGATTTTCTCCTGACAACATAAAAATAGAAAGATATCTGGCAGAATGACGGCTTCAGTCAACATTTACTTTAATTGCATGTTTAGTCCATACAAATCAAGTGAATGTCAACTGAGACTGTTTTTGAAACATATGTAAATAATGATATCATTTGTTTTATGTTTGCATGAATTTTCCCGATGAATCAGTGCAGTGTTTTATTTTACAGTAATGTTAAAATGCTTAATTTTCTTTAATTAGCCTTCTTGTCATTATTGATTTTTTTTTTTTTTTTTTTTTGCAATACTGCCTTGTGTGAACTTAATAGTAAATAATGTATGGGTTTTCCTGTTACAGATTTCATCCACTGCTTGCACTTGCACCATCCTCCCAATGACATTTTTTTTCAATGGAATGGAACAGAATGTATTCTCAGCTATTTTTCTGAATGTTGCCTTGACGTTCAGGCCTCACCGAACAAGCCATTTTGATAAAAGTTAGGACAGGTGTGTCCCTCACACTCATTCAAGCTGGCTCTTATTGACATTTCTTATCATTATACTATAACATTATGGCTATGCAAGAGCCAGGCATGCCCAGTCATTTGGAGCATATAGACACTTTTCATCAGTCAGAAGAGGAACGCAAGTTCAAGTGTGGGGAATGTGGACGAGGCTACAGGCATGCTGGCAGCTTGGCTAACCACAGAAAAACACACAAGATTGGCTCTTTTCAGTGTCATATATGCTCAAGGAAGCTCTCCAATGCACTGGCTCTCAAAAGCCACCTGCGCATCCACACATCTAGAAAGAAATATTCTTGCACAGAATGTGGAAAGGCTTTTCGTCTGGCATCTCAGCTGGTCACCCATCAAAAGGTCCATCGCAATAAAGGGTCTCATGTTATGATGAACAATGTTGCAAAAAGTCATATTGAAAGCGGTTATAAAGATGATGATTTGCTACACCTAGATGATGTGGATTTTGACATGCCAGATTTGCAGCCAGACATGAAGCTGAATATTGCTCCAATGAGCAGCCTTTGTAATGATGCAGAGTCCGAACACATTTCAAACTCAACCCCAGAAAGTGACACAGCAGCTGAAGATGATGCTGGAGACAGGCCGTTTAAATGTGACTCATGTGACAAGACCTACAGACATCATGGCAGCCTCATAAATCATAAGAAAACGCACCTAATGGGAATATTTGAGTGTCCAATCTGTTTTAAACAGTTCAATAATCTTGCTGCCCTTAATAGTCACCAGCGAATCCATAGTAAAACCAGAGGTCGTCTCAGTGCACAGAACTCTAAAGCTGCCCTCACAGACTGCAAGAAAGAACTTGCCCCGCAAGTTATGCCACAGAATGGTGATGCTAATATACATTTTTGTCACCTTTGTCAGGTTACGTTTGCTAATGATGATGAGTTTCAAAATCATATTCTTTTGCACAACTCCTCTTCTGTGTCATTTGAGCTCCCTACCAATTTGTCAGAGGAGCACAATTTCTCGTACAATGACAGTGTTACTCATTCCCCGGAGTCTAATCCTTATCCCCCCTCTAGTGACACTCCACCATTGCCTCAGTTACTCAATAAAGTTGTTCATTATGACCAATCAGATGGGCCAATGGAAAATGGTGATGTGTATCTACCTAACTCTTTGGATGACAATTCATTGATCGTACATGCTCAGGGACAGCCTATGGCCCTACCACCAGAGGACCTCAACCGTGATCATTCAAAACAATGTCCTGATAACATCAAAGTAGAAGAAGATGACTGTTCTGGTCGCCGCTTCAGGTGCCACATTTGTGGCAAAAGTTACAGGCATGCAGGCAGCCTTATAAATCACAAACGATCCCATCAAACCGGGATCTTTCAGTGTTCCATTTGCCGCAAGAGCTACCCACATTTGGCGGCTCTGCGAAGCCACCTTCGGATTCATAAGGGAAGACCCGCATCTTTGCCTGCTAGTTCTGAGGGTGACTGGCTTTCCTCAGAACCCTTAACACATGAGAACCAACAGGGCTGCTTTTCATCGCATGAGGGAGATGTAAGTGAAATATTAGGGCTTCCTCATGACCTGGTAGACTCTGCACAGGGTAAATCAGACGAGGAGTATGTGGACGAGACAAATGCTACTGAATTTCATGAGCAGTTTGACAATTCCTTCCCAGATGAGCAACTACCTCAGGACGAACACCTCATGGAGAGGCACATGTGTGCAGACTGTGGTAAGACATTTACTGATATTGCAGGTATCAAGTCACACACGTGTCCCCACCTGATTCAGCAGTATCAGACCATGACGAACAACTCATCTGGTCACATGGACTTTCAAAACACAAAGCATCAGAATTTTTTAGGAGAGTCAGGTGAGGATATTTGTTTTGAGGAACACAATGGCAGTACAGCTGAGGCCTATTTTAGACAGCAGACCTTTCATGACAACATTCATGGACAAATGAGTGACAGTGAAGATCAAGCTGAGTGTGAAGAGGACGATGGAGAGATGTATCAGTGCTCAGTTTGTGGGAATCACTATAGTAGCATGCGTGCACTGCGAAGCCATCTCCGAGGTCACACTCAAACCCATGCTGCACCTTCAGCATCTGGCCCGTCATCTGTGTCTTCTCTAGAGGTCAAGAGAGATGAACAGACTGAAAATCAGCAGAGTGAATGCAGTCTGATTATCTGTAGCACTTGTGGAAAGAGCTTTACAAAGAAACAGGACCTACAAGCCCACCAGCTCTTGCATATCAATATTGAAGGTAATACGCCAGATCAATTTGTAACAGACAACCAGAATGAGCTCAAACCAAAAGTGGAAATGGAAGGTATTATTTGTGGGAAATGTGGCATAAGCTGCAGCGATCTTTATCACCTCAATAACCACAATTGCACAGGACAACGAGATGGACAAGTGGGGGAGAAATGTGTGGAGAAACCGCTTCTTAGAAATACATTTCAACAAGAAATTGTACAGGATAGTCCACATGAAGGAGAACGACAGTACAAGTGTGACCAATGTGGCCGTTCATACAGACACGCTGGATCTTTGCTCAATCATAAAAAGTCTCACAAAACTGGAGTGTTTCGCTGCTTTGTTTGCCAAAAGCGTTTTTATAATTTGTTGGCCCTCAAGAATCACCAGAGGACACACTTCGATGTTAAAAAGTGAGTATTTAAAATTTCAGAATTTGATTGCTTTGTAAAAAGTTATTGTGTAACATCATACTTCATCCGTATTGTTTTATAGCTAGGTTCTGTTTTATCTGATTTTTTTTTTTTGTTCCCTTTCTCTACCAGGCATAGTTGCACAGAATGTGGGAAAGCATTCAAAATCTATAAACAACTATTGAACCACCAGAGGGTACATCAAGAAAACAAGGCTAAGATTGAAGAGCTCAACAAACAAATACAGACACTCATGCAGATGAGTGGAAATGCCTCAGGGAGTGGAATGCAGGCACTTCATTTTGGCAGAAAGAGAATAAGCAGACGCCATAAGCAACGGCAGACCTCTAACAGTGATAAGTCTAGCCAAGAAAAGGGCCCGATAGGAGATCCTAAGGACCCTCGGCCTTTTGTCTGTGATCAATGTGGGCGAAGCTATCGGCATGCAGGAAGCTTGGTTAACCACAAAAACTCTCACAAGACAGGTGAATATTACTGTGCTTTGTGCAACAACACTTACTCCAACCAGCTAGCAATGAAGAACCATTTACGAATACACTTTGCTGTCAAAAGATACCGCTGCCAAGAATGTGGAAAGGCCTTTAGAGGAAACAAACAGTTACTCAACCACACTTGTTCGACCATTAAAAGGAATTCAGCAGCAAGAAGAAAGGTCAGGGGCCACAAACAAGAAAATAATTTAAAATGCAAGAATTGCCGTCTTGTATTTCCAGATAATGAACTACTTGAAGGACACACCTGTCAAAAAGAGACTGTCTCTGATTCTGTCCCCCCAGGAAATGTAGACCATATGGCCCTAGGAAAAGAGGAACGACCATTCAAGTGTAACATTTGCAGTCGAAGTTACCGTCATGCCGGTAGCTTGTTGAACCATAAGAACACTCACAAAACAGGGCATTTTACCTGCTCCTTCTGTGCCAAGCCCTTTTCCAATCCCATGGCTTTACGAAACCACACACGCATTCACACGCAGAAGAAAAAGTATGTCTGTCCTACTTGTGGTAAAGCTTTTCGTCTCTCCAGTATCCTGTACAACCATCAAAAAATCCATGCACGGGGAGCGACTCATTACAGCTGCCAAACGTGTGGTAAAAGGTTCCAGGGAAAGTCTGGGCTAAAGAGACATCGCTGTTACCGAAATGGAAATCCGAACTCCACTGTAAATCAGGATGGTGTGGACAAATGCTATACGTGAGTGAGATTTTTTTTTTTCTTATTCTTTTCAATCCTTCATAATTTCTTTGTATCTTATGCCAGTATTTTCTGTTGTTACAGATGTGATCAATGCGGACGCTCTTATAGACACGCCGGTTCCCTTCTCAACCACAAGAAGACTCATTCTGCTGACCTCCTGCACTGCACTCTCTGCCTCAAAACATTCACAGATCCTCTGGATTTAAAGAGCCACTCTCAAATGGCACGCCACTGCTGCCCAGATTGCGGGAAAACCTTCTGTGAGTTTTCACACATGCAGAGCCACATGGAGGTGCATACTAAGGGACTCCCCTATTACTGCAACATATGTCAACAGAACTTCCCAAACCTGGCTAGTTTTCAGCAGCACCAGGAGCTCCATGGCAGCTTACAAGGGCAGTCGCACCATGAGCAAGGTATGCAGCAGGATTTAGACTGGGACTCTACACTGGACCAGCAGATAGGAATTCAAAGCCTTCCTAAGATCGATTCTGCTTTCAGCCGAGTACATGGATTTCCTGAGCCACAAGACCAGCAGGAAAGTAGTGAGGAATACGGTAGGGAGGAGAAGAGTCATGTGTGCGAGCACTGTGGGCGCACTTATCGCCACGCTGGTTCACTGCTCAACCACAAGAACAGCCACAAGACCGGCTCCTTCTTCTGCTCGGTCTGTCAGAAGGAGTTCACCAATCTCATGGCACTGAAGAATCACCGGCGCATTCACACAGAACCCAAACGCTATCAGTGCCTGGAGTGTGGCAAAGCCTTCCGGGTCTCCACCCAGCTTATCTGCCACAGGCGCATCCACACCAAAGAGAAGCCCTTCTCTTGCCTCCTATGCGACAAACGTTTCTCTAGCAAGTCTAACCTCCGGCACCATCAGAAGATGCATCAGAATACCCAACAGACCTACGAGTCCTCCTTTAATATGGATGATAATACATTAATAGGACTGGGTGTGGACCCTTTCCTCTGAGGCCTCACTTCAGTCTCGTCACCCCAAGGGAAGATTTCAAAACAATATTCTATTACAAGAGGAAGACTCTCTCCACTCAAGGCCTAATGCCAATAATCGTACAACATCAGGTTTTTTGCAGTGCTTGTCCAGATGGTGTCGCACCCAGATGCTAATCTCGGCGAGGCTTGCCTCCTTTACTATTGTGTTTTTAAATATAGTTCTTCAAAGGACACTTAAAGCTGACATTGATAAGATACTACCTCTGGTAGGAACAGTAATACCGTAGACATTTTAGAATAAGTGGCAGTGCCTGTCAGAGACCATTTTAGATTTTTTTTTTTTTTCTTCATTTGTTTTGTGTTCCCACACAGTGCACAAATTGTATGGTACTATGATCGATCTCAGACTGAGAGCTTGGATGAGTATTTCTGTCCAAACTCTTACCCAGTGCTGCCTTCAAGAGTCCGACCGATTAGTTGGTGTAATCGGAAGGGGAACAGAGAATGGTGTTCTGTTTTTTGTTTTATAAAAAAGGTTATTATGGGGGTAAAAGGATATGTGCTATCCTTTTCATTATGTTTGTATTAAGTGCTTCCGTTTTCAAGTTATTGTACTGCTCATGGTAGATTTGCTGTCATCACTTCTTCTCATTAAGACCACTGTACACATGATGTTCCTGCAGTTTCATAATGGATGACACTGATAAAGCTGTTAAACAGCAACCTACCCTAAGGCCTGTCCTGTAGAAAATCTCAAAGATATTTATTTATTTAAAAATAACCATTTATACCTTAAGCATATTTCTTGTCTTTATTACTGTTAAATGTGGTACACATTATGCATGGTATTAAATGTGTGATTAAAGCTAGATTGGTTGAGTAGGTAGGTATTTTAGATAATGGTTGTAAACACTTAAGAAATACCTCTTTACCTCTTTAAAATCATTCACAGCAGTGTATTTGAAAGAACAACAGAAATATTTCCGTTTTCTTAGCGTATACTTTTATACTAAATGTTTTATGAAGTGGAAGTATATTCTTCCCAAGATCATATTGGAGCACAAAAAATTTTTTTAAATCAACCTAAAAATCCATGATCGGTCGGGCTCAATTAGGGTAGAAATTCAAAGACTAAACGTTTTGCGGCAGTTTTTTTTTTTTTTTTTTAAATGCTCAGGTCTTGCAACTTTACTAGACGCAATGTAAGAAAACACATTTAGCTTGATGCTTCTGGCATCAAGGCTTCTATGTCTGTCTTTAATGTCAGATTGAATTTCAATGTGCCATTTCATATCACCACCCTACTTGGATTAGACTTATTTGTTAGATGGTTTCCTTTTAAGCCTATAGATCAGTGCTTACTGATTATTTAAGAGTAGGAGTTGCAAACCTTTATGTATTAATGGCTTCATTAGAACTTAAACTGACAATTGAGACTTCATGTAATCAGATGCATATATCTTAAATATAAATTATTTATTTTTGTTCACATGATCAATGTTTCTTTCTCAAGTAGGGACCTAAATAAGCAGATGATGTTTATTTGTAGGTGTTGATAACCTCACTTTCTTGAACTGAATAAAAACAGTATAACAATGTGTTTTGGCTTCTTTTTCTGCCTTCCCTTATATTTATTTTTAACACTTGAATCCCTTGCAGTTGCAGAGCATGACATGATTATTTTAGAAAATGCAAATGAGAAATAAGTTCACTTTCCTTTTGTATTTTCTCTTAAAGTTTGAGTACTGAAATTAGATGATTTCAAGAACCCATTAGGAAAAATAAATTATCAACACATTAATAAAATACATTAGTTATCTTTATTGCATTAAAATGCAGGTTCCTCTGCAGTCTGTTGGAGTAATCTTGAATGAGTAAAGGTGTATACACAACCAACTTTCCTCAAGACCGTGTCAGCGTCGTGCATGCTTCACAAGTTTATGTTTAGCAAGAATCTGCACTAGTTTCTTGCCCCCGGTTTCACAGAAAAGATTTAAGATTAGTCCCAGACTAAATGCATTCTTGAGCTGTTTTAACTGAAAGCAACTTGCACCAACATATCTTAACCTATGTCAGTGCTATTGTTTTGTCTCAAGATGCACATCAGTAATGTTTTTTTTTTTTTTTTTTTTTATTCCAAGGCATGTACATAAAAGCTACTCATATCCTAATTAAACTTAGGGCTAATCCTGGCTTAATCTAAACCCGGTCTGTGAACCAGCCTTGGTGTTCTAGATTTCTGACAAATATGGCAGTGATTTGCAATGAGGTACATAGTCTTCTTGGGCATTGGGGTGTAAAATGTGCTTAGTTTTCCTGGAAACAATGTAACAATGCAAAGAAAACAGATCATTTCTTTAAGAAAAATATTCATGTTCGTATCAGGTTTGATGTGATTCACCCCTTAAACTCTTGCTAAATGTGCTTGAAGTCATTCAAACAAGTAACTTTCTAGCATCAGCTGTGTATACATTTCTTAATGCCCATTACCTATTCATAAAAAAAATAATAATTTGATTTTATCCTTTAGTAATGTTTTACTACGATGAATTGATTAGGCACAAGAGATTAAATGCATTAAAGAGATAGTTCACTTTGAAATAATTTTTTGATATGTTTTAGCTTACCTCAAGGGCATCCAAGATGTAGGTGTCTTTGTTTCCACAGTGTTTTCAATTTTGACATTTTTCGGTCAAACCGGTGTTGTCTGTCAGTCACAATGCAGTTTTAGGGGGTCCACCTCAAAGAGCACCGAAGTCAAAATTAAACATGATTTAATGACTCGTGAATGTACACATTGATGGCCTAAGACACGAAACAAGCGGTTTGTGTGAGAAAACGAACAGTATTTATATAGTTTTTTTTACCTCTTGTTAACAGCCGTCGAACTGATCTGAATCAGAAGTCCAACTGAACCGAACTCAAGACGTTACGCCGGAAGTGATCTCTCGCGCGAGAGATCACAACAGGTGTTCTAACTTCTGTCGATTTTTGCTGCCTTGTCGAATGCTACCGTAGCACGAATTGATCACAGAATGCCGATTAAAGTCGTATGAAATACAATTATAATACAATTCCAAGTTATGAGTAGCTACTGTATGCTGTAGACAACTGTTTTTATTTTTAAAACGGTGTGAAAAGTAAAAATTATCATAAAATATTCATCTTTGACTTGTCAAAGTACACCTTTCCTCATAGTAACTGAAACTTTCAGTTATTGTTTGTCAGCTGGCTGACCGTACAAATATTGCACATGCGCATAACCGGTAAATAGCAAATCTTGATGGGTAGCATGAATCGTCTGAACACCGGCGTAACGTCTGGACTGGAGACGGTTCAGAATCAGTTCGGTTCAGTTGGCCATCTAATTCAGATCAGTTCGACGGCTGTTAACAAGAGGTAAAAAGTTAAAACTATATAAATACTGTTTTCTCACACAAACTGTTTCGTGTCTAAGGTCGAGTCATTAAATCATGTTTAATTTTGACTTCTCTGTGCATGATCTTTGAGGTGGACCCCCTAAAACTGCATTTATAGGACTGACAGACAACAACGGTTTGACCAAAAAATGTCAAAATTGAAAATGCTGTGGAAACAAAAACACCTACATCTTGGATGCCCTTGAGGTAAGCTAAAACATATCAAAAATAATTTCAAAGTGAACTATCCCTTTAAGATACAATTATGTAAATATTGCTCTAAACTATCTAATCTCTTATGCGCATAAAGACAGGAAAATGTTATCTGACACCTGCGGCTCTTAGAAAATCTATGGTCAGCTGGCGACGCTTCTCTTTCAGGTAATCGGCTGCTGTGTTTATGCAGGTCTTCAGTATCTCCACATCTCCAGAATGTTCGTCAATGCTATTGACAGGTTGCTGTGCTGAGTCAGTCGGTGTCAACATTGTTATAAGGGCTACATCTATACAGTGCGTAGTATTCCAACACTATAAAAATAGATAAACGATTATTACAAATACATTCAAATGGCTATGTGCCATACTAAATCTGTTAAGGAGGCATAATTGTGTAAAAAGGTTCATCTATGACTAATTCTACTATATTAAACAGGTTAAGGTTATTTGTGTTTATCATGTTCACAAACCTAACTAATAGATATTCAAGTGGAAATACATTTACAATGCGCCATAAGTTGCGCCCTCAAACTAAATTCTGCAAAAACAGTGTAGCATTTTAAGGGTTCCAACAATGGAATATAAAATATGCTATCATGCTGTCCACAAGACGTCACTTAGCACCTAAGGTTTGCAAACCCATTATGCACAGTGAACGACAATGTCTCAGTGCAGCTTTTGTGCATAGCCATTCGCTATGCATGACATAGCCTACTAATGTAATAAATTAGACAAATCAGATGCTACTCAGAACACTCTGTGGTTGAGGTACCAGCTAGTGTTCCACCAACTGGAGCGTTAATACACTGGAGTAACAGTCCATTTTCATATGCTGTCAGCTTGAGTTCCTTGAGCTGCAAACATTTAGAAAATTAATTTCCTTGATCCATTTCAAAACATTCTAAAATGCATTGCATTTTTCACTCTTACCTCTTGAAGAACCTATACTGGATAGAGAGGTCCTGTTGTCTCTTCAATCGGCTCTGAATTGTGGACAGAAAAAGTTGGGTAAGTTCTGAATCCTGCTCTGAAAGAGTGTTTTTGTTGTTAAAAAGAGGCTATAATGTTAACATCTCACCACGTAAGGTCCTCCTTGACCTGCAATGATGTACTAGAACTCCTATGATCAAGGCTCCGAAAACAATTACGGCTGCCAGGACAGACAAACTGGTAATTGCTGCCACCCTCCAGGAATCTGAAGGCTCTATGGGTGGGCCTTAAAAACACAGAACAATGTTACTGGAAGTCCTCCAGCTCTTCAGATCATACAGGAAACATCTGGCCACTCCTTCTCTGTATGTTAGCTCTGACCTACTGCAAAAGTAAACCATGTATAGGCCTATACAATGCATTCTCATTCTCATGAGGATGGACTGTTTTACTGATTTGAATCTTTGAGTCTTGTTCAGAAAAATGAATTCCTCTTTATTCAAGTTATCTCTTTCATGAGTTATTTTAAGTAGCCAAATTAACCATGGGGAGATTAGACCATATCTACCAACTTGAACCAGCTTACTAACTTTGAATTAGCCTGTTTTCAAACCCTAATTCCGTTTCGTAACCTTTGGTCATATTAGGAATTAGAGAAACCATAATGCAATTATGAGTTAATTTTCGTCATTATACTCAAAACCATTTAAAATTTGATACATTACTCACATGTGTCACATGATGGAGTTTTCGGGTACTGTTTGCATTCAGAACAAGGTACACACTCTGCGACATCTCTATTCCAGAATTCAGATTTCTCACAGTGGGATGAACCTGACAAAACTGAACAAAGAAGGGCACACAAAAAGGTGTCAGGTAGCGGTATAGCCTACCACATGACATTACAGTGAAACAGTCATAAACAACTTCTCTGCACATGTTTCCAGATAACTTGGGGTTTGTTCGGGGTTTTAAACATGGTTACAATATGATGTTTACAACTGAATAAGATCCAAGAGCTTTCTTTGCTCTGCCTCTTTTTCATATGAAATGAGATGGGAAATTCCGTTGAAGTGATGTGGTGTTGCTCTCGCGGGGAAACGATATTACTCATGCTCTGTGTGCGTAAGCAAGTCTAAGCTAGCGGCCAGACTATGATGTGGCCCCTGAGTGCATGCAAAGTGTCCCACTGCGAGAACTGAGGACATGGAAAAGTGACTTTAAGAGAATTAATGGGTTGGTGTGTCGTCAGTGAGAGTTGAAATTGTCTTGCGCACATGCTTGCAATCAGGGGAGGTACATAAGGGAAAATGCGGTAAAGGCAGGTACCACAGAAAGCCTTTCACGAAAAACTCACAGCTGCGGTCTAGATGACAAACATATGCAAGCTAATGTCTATGTGACGTGACTGAAGATACATGCCGTCAAATGTAAATGATTGGCATAGCAACCAAATTAAAATGAGTGAAACTGCATAGCCTAGGCTTCTGAATGTCAAATCTTTTCTTGAGGTGTCGTGGGACATAACAGAACAACGTGCACTGCTCACATATTGATTTATAATCTGACATTGACTGGAGACTTTTAAGGATGCATGACTCATCATGTGTTTCAAGTACACTGTATGCATACGTCATAAACTCAAGCACATAGCCTAAATTGATTTGCATCTAGTTAGAAAAACAAACGTAAAGCGTAACTGTACAGGGTATAATGAATGACACTTCAGTGCATTCTTATCTGATGGTTGAGGTTGAGAATGTGGACTGCTCATTTAAACATAGACTGTGGAGATAGAGGCATACTGAAATCATGGTCCTGCTATCACAACTGCACACTTGAGAAATAGAACAATATGTTCAAAGCCTTGCATGTTTAGCAAGCTTAATGATCAAGCCTTTGTAATACAAGGACCCCCATCGTCAAAGTTAATATTTGTTTATATATATATATATATAAAATATAGGCTGTACTCACTCTTTAATCCATTTATTAAAACATTAATTATTTGTGAGGATGAAATAAAAATTTGTCAGTTTGTTTTCAAAGTTTATACTGATTGTGGGCTGAGCAATGAGAAAAAAATCCTGAGAAAAAAATCCTGAATGTATTCATATAATTCATATTTTATTTGTTGAATAATTATGATATCTTGAGGGCACCTTAAAAGTTTACTGGGGGCCCCTATTGGGACTCAGCCCCCCTGCAGAGAACTGCTACAGTATATTGATGATCCAAGCATGTTTTGATGTGCATTATTAAATCCATAAGACTTTAAATCTAATTTTCTCGTTATAATATAACTGTGACATGACATGAAACGGTTTACTGACTGCATTCAATTAAGCCACTGAAAATAACAAGGGCATGTGGGCACCAATGCATTGCCTAATACTTTCCCAAAGCAGAGTAACAGACAAAGCACTTTTTTTCTTTCCTGCAAGTGTTTTTACAATTAAAACCGTTCTAGCAGTAACATACACATGCTAAGGTAACAAAGACAATACAAGCCTCATGTTCCTCATGGAAAGCTGAAGCAAGCCTTGTGTTGCACTGTTCTCAGCTGGGCACAATACAACCCATGGAGTGGGTGGGAGTGAAATAAGAGCATTGGAATGCGGAACCGGTGGGAACTGCAACTGGTAAAGGAAGCTATTACGAATGAGGCAGCTCATCGTCATTAACTCCACTGACTCCACGTCTTCCCATGTTCGTATAGCAAGAGGACAAATGAGACAAATGTTTGGAACTTTCTTCGGCCACCACAGAAAATCCACAAGATACGTCATAGATATGCTAGGATATGTTGTAACATGAAGATATTAATCAAGTAAATGTGAATAGTCTTACTTTTATCCGCGTTCATTCCATTAATAAGTGTGGCGACAAATAGAGTAATCCAATAGATGCAACGCAGCGCACCGGAATCCATTGAGCTTTATATACAATGAAATCTCGCAGCGATTTCAAAAGATTAAAAACCACAAATGAGTTTCTAGCATAGCAAGAGCAGCGCGTGTGAATGAACCACCCCAAACTTTCAGTCTTGTTTTAATAGCGCCCACACCCACGCGTTGGGTTCAACTCCTCTATGAGTCATTTCCTATGTACTGTAACGTTACTGATTCGTGGCTGTGTCTCCAGAAGCCCGGGCTGCCAATGAAGACCGCGTTTATCCGTGTGAAATCACGGCTGAGAGCAGAGAACTTTTACTAAGAATTTAAAGAACAATTATTGGGAAAATCTTTGATTTGTTCACGACTTTCGATTTGTTGTCAATTCACAGCCTACTTTATGGAGCACGCGAATGATTCAGCTCGAGTTGCGACCTAGAGACGGTCCCTGTCATCTTTGAGCACGGAAAGGCACCAAGCCTAGTGATTCAAAAGCTGCAAGCATTAATAACTTGACCACCAGTCCGTGCATCAGATTCCCAAAACGAATGACAGAGTCGATTCTTTTTAGTGAATCGAACACATTTAGCGCAACAGTCCTTTCCCTATAAAATAAATCGGTTCACTTAAGATCAAAATTCGCAGTTGTTACTGAATTAATCAGAATAAATAAAATGTTCACTTTTGTAACACTGCTTTGCATTGGATGTAACGTTAATCAGAATTCAATCAGAATGTTCAGAGAACATTCAAAAGTAACATTCTCACAATGTTTGCAAAATTATTCAATTGAACGTAGGTTTAATTTAAGTACAACCATTTTTTAAACGATTTAAATGTTCAGAGAACATTCAGAAATAACGTTTTTACGACTTAAGATTTGCAAAACGTTGTTTGCTGGATAGGCAGTTGCTAGGTTTTGAACAACAAACACGGCCACTGAATGAATCTCTATTCACAGCACGACGAATATGAAACATGGTAGAGACGCACGACAACACAACATGTTCTCTGCTAAGTTTCGTTTTTACTTCAAGATAGACTACATTTACGTGTAAAGACTAACCAATTCTCCATTATAATATTGGTGATCTGACGTAAATATTTGATGTCAGAATTACCAGGAAAAACAATTTCAAGTAACAAGAGTTTTAAACGAAGACAATATGTGAAAAATAAAAGTACTTTCTAAGTAAAAGCACAAACGAGAGACCCCAGTCTCCCCGTCCAAAGTATGTTTGAGCACATTAAAGTCACCCCACCCAACTACGTAATTCACTGTCTCTGGTCCAAGGGAGCAAACAACAGTTCGGTGTTTGGCAGGCAGACTCACACAACGCAGACTGAGAGGAAAGCAGCAAGACCGTTATACGATCAGAACAGCAAGACCATGGGCGTGGAGAATAACATAAGGTCAATTGCGCAATATAATGGAAAATATTTACATTCATATTCCGGGCAAGAATTTGCAGTAAAAAAAGAAAAAAACACACATAGGGTAGTTTTTTTTCTCTCTCTCTCTCATGTGATCCTCTTCTGATGCCTAACCATATGCAACTATGCATTTCTAAACCATCTGAAGTTACTAAATCAACATGCATTATGGAAATAGGATTGTATTGGCAGAAAACCAATATGGACTGTAATATTTCAGGGTATGTCCATGGAAAGTCCAGTTTCATATTTTTCACATCACTGAAATGAAAACTCAGCTTCATCTACCCAATCAATCTTCATTGCAAAATCAAAATAAAAATCTTACCAATAGCTTAAACTGCCAAAGAAAAACAATGCTTAAACACATTGAATAATGACTCTATATTATAATATGTGTATAAATTGACATCAAGTTCACAAATACTTGTATCCAGTTTTTATTTTTAAAGGAAATTGTGCAACAGTTATTGACATGTAGGTGATATATTATCTGCCTGAATCATTTGAGACAAATTTTCTTTTGCATGAATATTTCTTGGTCTCTCTGTTTTGTGTTTTTGAAGTCACTGCACCACAATCTTATGTTTCTAATTATGCAACTCTCCTCAGTCCACCCAGTACCCATCACATCTGTTCATTACTAACTTTAAGGGGTTCAATAACATTGAGTGTCACCATAGAAACTGACTGACTGACTGACTACATTACTGGATAGAGTTACTGTATGACTCAAACGGATAAGGCCATAATTGTCAAAACAAAACTGTTCATGTGAACTTTAAAAGTCTGTCATATTCTGTGGGATTATGACATTTATGATATTTAGAAATTTGAGCAGATACAGTCTTTTTTTTTTTCATGGTGATTCAAAAATGCAAGTATAAAACAAAAAAATGAAGAGAAAAAAACCTCAATGAATTCCTCTGCAATGAAGAAGCACTGCTTGTGTGCTATAGACCATGACTCTACTTCAACTGTTTCCATTCTGTCACTGTCTGTTCGGTCACTAGCACCACCTATCACAGATGGGCAAAAGTGGCCCTTTAGAGCATTTTAAAATACCACAGCATGGTAATCCCGTGCTTCAAGACCACTTTCATCCCTTCTTTTCTCATCTATTGTTTTCAGTCCATCAAGAAGTCCACTTTAAATTAGGTGATGTAGATGCGGTGGAAGTCATTTGCTCCGAATGCAGCATTGCATTTGGGGCACTTCCTCTGGCGAGTGTCATAGCGAGTCTTCAAGCATTCATAGCAGAAGACGTGGAAACACTTGGTGAGGACAGTCTCCTTATCTCGTGTATTACAACAGGGACAACGCAATTTAGCCTAGAATGGAGACAACAGAAAGGTCAGGCACAAATAATACACTTATAAAGCTACTCTACCAGTCAAAATTTCAAATGATTTCATAGACACACATTCTGCTTATTTAAATTCTCCATAAAACTAAAAAATGTTTCACATTTTTTATTTTAAAGTATGAGTTGGACAAAATAGTCCAGGAAAACAAGTGGCCAGCAGACATGGGAATTCCTTTAAAAAAAACACCATCCCAGTTGGATTCTTCATGATGAAAGACTAGCTGAAAGAATGGCCACAGTGTGTAATCTACGCAAAGCAGGCCTACTTTGAAGAAGCGAAAATTATATGATAGTTTTTTGCTACGACACATTTCTATTTTCAGTATTTTGATGACTTCACTATTATTCTTTAAAAAAATAAAACAATTTACAAAATACAATTAAAATAAATATTATAATATTATATATTATATATTTATACATACACACATACATATTTACATACACACACACTCAATTAAATATTTTAATCGTTTGACAGCACTAATATATATATATATATATACCTATATCTATCTATCTATCTATCTATCTATCTATCTATCTATCTATCTATCTATATCTATATATATATATATAAAATCACTAGCATAATGATGGGGTGACCAGGCACCCCACATTAAGATAAAAAAATAATGCAAATTAAAAATATATATAAATGATCTTTTAATTTATATATTAAATTAATAAATATTATATTCACTACTGTTCAATGTTTGGGATTGGTATGATATTTTTTTGTTTGTTTTGGAAAGTCTCACTTTCCCAAGGATGCATTTATTTGCTCAAAATAATAGTAAAAACAGTAATATTGTGAAATATCACAATTTTGAATAACTGTTTTCATTCATTAAAAAAAAATAAGAAATTTATTCCTGTGAATTTACAGCAGCCATTACACATTTAGTGTGACATGATCCTTTTTCTTCATGACCAATTTTTTTTAACAATGTTGAAAACAGTATTCAGCAATATTACAAATCTCTTTACTGTCACTTTTGATCAATTTAATGCATCCTTGCTGAATAAAAGAGAATCCCACTGACCCCAGTAAAATAACAAGTTGAGGGCACTAGTTTATGTTTGACTGGTTGTCTTCATAAAAAGAATCTTTGAAAAGCCAATCCTCACCTTATACTGATTAATTTCTTCTTGCAGAATCTCATCAGCATCTGTGTACACTTCAACTTTCTTCTGTTTCTCCAGCTTACGCCGCAGCCTGGACAAGTCCTCCTGAAAAAAAAAAAACAGCATAGTAGAAGAGTTACACACACTGTTCCCACTCATTTGTATCCCTGAAACATATCTACAACACACGTGCCCCTGTACCTGTGCTCTCTTGAGGTTGGCACTCTCCCTTTCACGGGCAGAGCGGTTGTCTAATACGGAGGCTTGGATTTCCCTCAACTTGGTCTGAGTGTGTTCCAGCTGCACTTTAAGGTCCTCGGCCAACTGGGCCGCCTCCACCGCCTGAGCCATTGTGCAGAAAAAGCAGCATTAAACACACATCTGGAAATACATGCTAATGGTTGGCTAAGCTGAGTCATGGTTGTCAAGGACATCAGAACAGAGGTGGGTGTCTGTGATCTTTCCGGTTTTACCTTGCGCTTGTTGAGCTCCAGTGCTTGAGTGCGCAGCGCCAACTCTTTCTCCAGAGCAGCCAGTGTGCTCTGCAGGACACCTTCCTTCTCTTCTAGTTTCTGCACTACCAGCAGCTGAGCGTCCACCTGGGAAGGGCAGTAAAAAGAGTAGATGACACAACTACATTGTGATTGCAAAAACAGAAGTTATTAAACAAATTACATGCAGATTTGCAACCTCAAAAATGGAAAGGCCCATCAATTTTAGCTTTCATTCTAGGAGGGATGGGCCGACTAGTTGTCTATAAACCAACTAGTCAATTAGTTTATCTAGATTGTTCCTTAATTTTTTTACTGGCAGTACTTCAAACAGGATAACACTAAGGATATTTTTGAAGGAAAGATTTGTGTATTTTTGAGCAAAAAGGAACATTGAGATAAAAAATATTGCAAATTAAAAAAAAGTTGAGGCATCTGTCGTGCTCTCTACAGCTATTCATAAGAACGGCAAACAGCTAGTAGTAGACTAGTTTTTCATAAAACCCACCAACTAGTAGATTATAAGAACATGTTTGTTTAAATTCTTTCCTGGATGCATGGGGTTTAAATGAAGAAATGATTTTTTTCTTGCACACCTGGGTTTTGAATGTGAGCACTTGGTCCGCCAGTTCCTCTTTTTCCTCCCGCAGAAGCTTGTAAATCTGGTTGGATTTAATTCTCTCACTCATTAGTTTAAAGTTGGCATCATCTTTCTCTCGGAGCTGCTGCATGAGCCTGCTGTTCTGCTCCTGCATGTCTTCAAAAGCCTGACCCGTCACATCCATCTCACTCAGCAGAGCCTCTTCCTCCTAAAAGGTCCACACGGGGACTGTCAGAGCACTAACTTCAAAGCTAAAGAGCTTGTTGAAATGGAAAGATTATAACACAATTGTTTACAATAACTAGGTTTACCAACTAGACACACCACCTGTTTAGTAGCAGCCAGTTTCTTCTGCAAGTGTTCGATGGTCTCCTCGGCCACACGGATCTTGCGGAGGGCATCTTCATCTGCCAGTTTCTTGCTTTCTTTTCTTTCCCTCTCCTCGAGTTCCCGCACTCGCTGCCTCAACTCCTCCACCTCCAGACAATGTTGATTTTAGCATTAAGAGAAGGACCACCCCAAGTGGTCACGAACTCACAGAAGGCTTCACATACCTCTGCTTTGGACTTCTTTTCTGCAGCCATGAGTTGCACTTTATCTCGCTGCTCCTTTGGGGCTGATTTGTACATGTCTAGCAGTAGTTTCATTTCCTTCTGAGACTCCTGAGCTTTTCTGTTGGTGTGATGCACATGATATGCGGGTAAGGTGACAGATCTGAAGTTCATTACATGCTATATAATAGCATTTACAAGACAATATTAAATTATTAGACAATAATAAGAAAAGTGTCGTCATTTTAAATGCATGTTTTATTATTAATTATTTATAATAAAAAAGAGCATGTGTGTGTGTGACTTGCATTGATTTTATGTTATGTAATGCAATGAATTTTTAGGTAAGACCAAATACTTCTGGAGGCCACTGTACATTAATTATGATTGTCCATTTATATCCAGCATAATTGATAAAATTGCAGAAAATATTAAAACAAGCAGTATTGAGAATCATAATTAAGGCTGAAAGATGTACTTGAGCTCTCCTCTCAGCATCTTCAGCGCATCAGAGTCCTTCCTCTTCAGCTCGTCACTGCGCTGTCTCTCCCGCTCTCTTTCTCGCTCCCTCTCTCTCTCCGCCTCCCTCTCTCTCTCCCGTGCACGTTGCCTTTCCAGCTCTCTCCTTCTCTCTTCTTCCTCCTCCTGGTCCTCATCTTCCTCTTTCTTTACCTCCAGTCCTCCATCACCCACGCTTTCTTCCAACATCAGCGCACTTGCATCTCCACTCTGGCACTTCAACTGAAAAACAACAATTATGACATTTTACAGAGAACATTTTTTATTTAGTAAAAATTAAATTACTTAGTGGAAAGTAACAGCTTACATTGCACTGAATGGTATATTAGTAAACTAATGCTTTATGGTTGGGAGTTCAATGCTGCCTCAGTAATTTATAATACAAAAATAAAACATAATAATAATAAATACACACACACTTGTTGGTTCTCTTGTTTGTTTTACATGTATTCATAAATTATTTTTGATATCACAAAAAACAACAACTATTGACTTCACAACTATGCAATATTCTTACAAAATCTGTGATAATTATATTTGAATAAAGGGTGAAGATT